TATATATATATATATATATATATATATACACATACAAACACACACACTTCTAATATACACCCAATATACTATCTATTATATTAGAATACTTACATTATATTATATATATATACTTCTAATATATACACAATATACTATCTATTATTTTAGAATACTTTTATTATATTATATATATACTTCAAATATATACACATCGTAATTTTTGTGTATATAAGGTTGATCAAATACGAAGTCGTTAAGCATGCATATGTACACCTATCAAAGCATTAACCTCGTGAAAATGTTTTCTTAAAAAATAAGAAGTTTTTTCACATATTTATTAGTGTTTAGTAAAAACATATAAAAATATTATTTGAAGAGCGTTTATATAGAAATGCGAATTCAGGATTTCAACTTTATGATTTTAAAACAATAATTTCAAATAATAATAACGAACTTCATAATTTTATATGTGTATATAGTTAATAAGTTTCTTAACATAATTAGATTATTTGAGCAAAAGTTAATGAATTCAGCTCATTCCTTATCTAGACTCCTATACTTCTACTCTGTTTACATGTAACATAGGAAAAATACTATAGGGTGGAAATAAAGTGGTGAAGGATTAAGGTGGGTGTTGACGTAGAAAAAAGATATTAATAAACTTGAAATGTCAATTATAAAATTTATTTTCGTACTCCCATTAGAAAAGTCGGCATCAACCTGATTTTTGAAGATTTTGTTTTTCAACCACATTGGACTTATATCTAAAAAAAATTGAACTATATATAGTTGTTTTATCAATTTTGTGCTAAGACCTAGCTACATAGATGCTGCCCAACCTTTACCCTCACACAACTTTAAATTAAAGTAAATCAGCCATGCTGCTATGCCTTCTTGTCTTCAACCTAAACCGTTAATTAAATTAATGGAGAAAAACCTTAATCAGAGGTCTCGGGTTCAAGCTCTGGGTATGGAGAAAATCATGTTGGGAGTGCCACCCCCGAATGGGCCCTGCAGTGCGCGATCCGGATTTAGTCGGAGCTTCAATGTGGGCTCTGGACACCGAGTGAGAAACCAAAAAAAAAAAAAGGAGTAATCAACAAGAAAACATATTATAAACTCATTTTAAAATCCTTACTCAAATGGTGATTAGTTAATTTCTTTATTCTTGTTATACTTTTCTAGAGAATTTATCTGTTGCTCCCTTTTTTATTCTTCTTTTTTTGAGAAGATTTATTTAAAGAAAATACAATAATCATGATTTGGATTAAATTTCAATGAAAAAAATACATTAATGAAGAGTTAATTCGATAAATATAATATTTCAGGTAGAAACCATTCATGATAATGAATCCAAAAAAAGAGTTATCTTAAAGTTACCCAAACGAGGACATAAGTTGGGTCACTTAAAATCTTTCAATCTAAAAGTTCCTTTGTATAAACAGGAGGAAAATGGAAGAATTTTAATCAATATATCATTCAAACACATTTAAATTTAGAGTTCATTAATTCATCAAAATGTTTTTCAAGACATGTTTTGATTATAACACTTTGTTTTCTTGTGATTCTAATGATGTCTTCTGAGGTTGCTGCTAAGGACATGTCTTCTGGTCCTTCACTCAAGTGTAAGTACTTCTACAACTCTTTAAATTCTTCCCTAAAAAATAATGCTCGAATTGTAATAACATAATTAAAATTTTCATTAAAGGAGTCAAAACATAAAGAAGTAAACACAATAAAAAGAATTGATCAGGTTTCAACACACAATATACTATGTAATTATTCAGCGAAGAAGAACTAGATGACTGAGCTACGTACAGATAGTATCTTAGTCATATCACATATGTAACATTTTGGGATCATTCGTACTTTTACCATTAGCAAATCATTTCATGTTTACCTTTAATCCTAACAGAGCACCTAATTTAAAGTATAACATATGATGATTTTAATTTAACCATAACGAAAAGTAAAATGGAAATATTTCAAACATGAAATTATTAGTTTCTCGAAGTACTTTTGACACGTGAAATCCTCCCAATCTATATGCTAGAATTCTATCAAAATTAAGGATAAATATTGACGATTTGCTAATAACGAGAATATAAATTATTTAATGATCTAAGGGATCAAACACTGCGATTAAATAAATTAATCGAAGATGAATGACTTTTTTCTCATGAAAAAAAAATAAAGCATCTATATAAATCACATGCATGCATCATTATTTATTTTTTATTATTTTAATTTTTTAAATTATTATTAATAATTACTTTGTGCAGCAAATGAAGCTCAAGGTACAACTGGAACTGGGGATGTGAATGACTCAATTAAGCCCCACCAGTGGGGTACTTTGGGTAAAATTGGATTTGGGACAATTTATGAGACTGCTTGCGCAGTGTGCCAGTGTTGTGATTAGTATTATATAATTAAATTAATATGGATTATAATATATACTTTATCAAATAATCTGAGATTATAAATTATAGCAGAAGTTGCATGGTTTACATATATTGTACACCCTAAAAGAATTTCTCTTTTTATATAATGTATGCATGCATAAGTTACTATGTTTAAATAAAGGGAAAATATAAATACATGTGTGGTTTCTCTTATTCGATTCTATATTATATAATATCTATCTCTTGTTCTATATAATTTTAAATTCTAATTATTATTGAAATGGCTAGTTATAACTAATATGAGTCAAGAAATTAGACTCAGATTAAAGAATAAAGAAAATGAGTCAAAGTTTTGTTAGATAATTTATCGGATAAGATGGATTACAAGATGATCCTGACTTTGCCAAGAGAGTTCATAAGCAAAAACACCAATCAAGATGAATCTTTGAATTTTGTCCAATATAACAATAAAGATTTGTACTAAAAAAATTTATATATCCACTATGAAAAATATAATTATAAAATTATATTTATTATGAGTGAATTGCGCAAAAAATACAAAAAGAATGAAAATACGTAACTTCTAATTAAAAACTCAATATTACAATTTACAGTACATTTTGTAAGTTTTAATGAGGCGTTTGAGTAGTTTTATCAGTCAGTATTTTGAGGACTAATTAATCAAGTTTTAATAAGAACTAAACCATATTAGGAGGTTAACCTTGATAATAGGCGATGTAGATTTTTATCTTGCTTACTTGGTTACAACGTATATTAATTAATTTACAATTAATAAAATATAGCCTGTCAATTGAGCTAAAACGGCTATGTTTCTAAGTTCTAACCATGTGTTTTTATATCCGTCATTACACTAAAAATATCCATGAAGTCTATAGCGACATGAATCCAATGACAATTAACTAATATGTATATATATTACCGCTAAAAGCTATTTTTATTATAGTGACGCGAGGATATAATTCAGCACACAACACTTATGAAGGTGACATTGCAATTACATTATGCTAAGCTAACATGTAATTATAATTAATGGATATGAAGGTGTAGATGTCCCTACCGTGTACATACTTCACTATCGACACATTAGCCTCACGAGATTTTAACTCAAATAATGGTTGAATTATGAAACATCGAGTATGATTATAAAATTTACGTACGTAAATTTCACTAGTTTAGGAGTTAATTAATTATATACACTTCAATTTACAATATTGCGTATCTTATCATATTTTTGTGCATCCATATACTTTCAGATACGTCTAGATACATGTATTTCAGGATAAATGCATGGGGTCAAATTTGTTCTGTATTGTATCCAAGTGGATTCGCATGTATCGGAGGATACATAACAAATCTCGCTCATCTCTCTCACATCTCGCTCGCCACTCTTGGATGTATCTGGCATCTCAGATATATGCGAATTACACTAGATACATAAAGATATATATGTGTCCAGTGTGATTCACATGTATGTTCTGGAATACATACGAATTTTGCTTGCCTCTCTCCCTATTTTAGGTAATCTAGTAGCAAAAATACATATATCTAAGTGTATCTTCCTCAATGTATGATAAAAAATTCTTAATTAGTAGTAAACTAGTAATATATGTATTATTTTGAAAGTATAGATAATAATAGTAGATATGGTAGTGAAATATTATTTTTCCTTTATTTTTCTCGACCAAACATGAAAAAAAACCTAAAACATTTTCCTCTAACACATGCACCCTTAAATCTTACTACATTAAATAATTCGAGAAGAGTGTTTTTATCAATTTTGTGCTAAGACCTAACCACATAAATATTGTTACCAAACTTTTCCCCAAACACAACTTTAAATTAAAGTAAATCGGCCATGCGGCTATGCCTTCAACCTAAACCTTTAAATTCATGGTGATTTGGGTTGAATTTCGATGAAAGAATATATTAATGAGAAGTTAATTCGATAAAATTTAGCATTTGTGAAAATATATATACAATATAAGAACTTTGGAATGAAAAGGAGTCTGGTTCCATCATTCACATGTGAATTAAATTTTGATCATTATTTTCATATTCATAATAGTGAGAGAGAAAAAAAAGGCAACTCTAAATTGTTTTTTCCACAAAAAAGGTTATCTTAAAGCTACCCAAATGATAAAGTTTGGTCACCAAAATCTTTCAATCCAAAATTTTCTATAAATAGGAGAAAAATTGCACATCAATAATTCAAATACATTTTGGAGTTTATTGATCAAAATAGGTTTCAAAATAAATCTTTTGCTTTTGACACTTTGTTTGTTTGTGTTTCTTATGATGTCTTCAGAGGTTACTGCTGCTAGGGACACACCCATTGGTCCTTCACTAATTGATCCATCACTCAAATGTAAGTTTTCTATCTTATTTACTTATTTTTCGGCGTGATTTGAACTTCCATCTACCGATCTATGAGAAAAGTGCTTAATTACTTGAGGAAACTCCCATCTATATGTTTTGCCTTTATTGGTACAAAACTTCTTGATAGATAGTATAGTGTAGATACATATTTACCATTATTTATTTTTATATATCTAATAAGAGAACCGTATATGTGGGTGCAGCAAATGAAGCTGAAGGTACAACTGGATCGTTGAATGACCTGATTAGGCCCCAATGGTTGCAATTCGCATGGCCGATAGGAAAATTTGTCGCAGAGGAGGTAGCAATATATTGCTTAGGTTGCCAGTGGAAGTGTTGCATGCTGGATCATATTCCTCCTAATTAACGACAATCTGATGCACTAAATTTTTATTAGACATGTATTTCAAAAAAAAAATCGGACCATAAATATCTAGTATACACAATTTTACCATTAGTATACTCCTACTACTACTAATATATATATATATACTTTGGCAAATAACATTATGAGATTAGAACAAAGGAACATCACTTTCCATTAATCTCATAATATGGAGTTTAATTATTAAGTATAATTGTAAGCTATGATTTTAAATAAAGGAAATATATGTTTTTGTCATAATTCGATTTTAAATTTGTATAATGCGATTTTATAGTATTTGAGATACTAACTATATCTCAAAGATGGAGGAAGGGTTAGATTTTAAACTAAAGTTGGGGGTGTAATTTGTAAATGATTTTCACCCATATTAAATTTACTTTCACTTTTAATACAAGTATCAAATACAGGATAAGTGACAAAAACCTCCAACTTAAATGACACAAATATCACTTGTAAAAGTTTTTCCTACATTCATTAAGTCTTTTTCGTGCAACTTATTTTCCTAGAGAATATATATTTCAAAAAAATTGATCAATCGGACATGAAAAAGATCAATAAACATTTACCTCCATACCAAACACACCCACAAGGTTGTGTGATTTTCCATAACTTATAATTAACCTTTCTCTACCAATATGAGTTGTGGTGCAGTGGTGAGACTAATTCATCGTTAACTAGATCTTGGATTCGAATTTTCAGTATGAAGAAAATCTTGTTGGGAGCACTACCTTCGAATGAATCTTGCAGTGCGTGATTCAAATTAATCAAAACTCTAATGCAGACTCCAAACACCAGGTGGAAAATTGAAAAGAAAAAAAAAACTAATTAACCTCTCTTTGGTTATGGACCTAAAGAGCTCATGTTTTTCATCTCTATATACAATATTTTTTGGTATATATTGTAGGAGTTTTTAGAAAAATATAAAAATAAAATTCTACTCCATCTCTTAAAATAGCCATTAAATTTATATAGGATGTTAGCATTTCATTTTAAGCCTGATAGTAGGATGTTAGTATTTTATTTTTAAGCATAATATTAGGATGTTAGTATTTCATTTTTAAGACGGATTGTAGGATGTTAATATTTCATTTTTAAGCCTGATAGTTAAGTAAATAGAGAATCTAAGAACGATAAATATTCACTATCAAAATGATTCCACTTTCAAAACTTCATGAATTCAAAACTTTTAATTAAAAATAAAAATACTTATTTTCCTAACATAATATATAATGATAATAAACAATATTTCTCATTATTAATAATTACACATAATTTTCAAATAAGTTCTTACGAAATATTATACGCAATTTAATGAAATTTACTTTTATAGCACAATATATTTCTTTAGACGATATGTTTTAACAATATCTAAAGAAATTATTCCAAAATCATGTCTTTTTCATTCAAATCTTAATCCAAAACCTACAAAATTTAACAAGTTCAATGCACCTTCAGAAAAAGGAAAAAATATTGTACTTTCCAAAAGCACGTAGAAAAAGTAATTTATTTCCTTGGTAACACTACAACATATCTTAACAATATCCAAAGTAATTATTCCATTTTAATTCATATCTTAATCCAAAATCTACAAGATCCCAACAATTCAATGCACCTTAAAAAAATTTAAAAAAATAATCGTTCATTCCCATAGCATGAAGAAAAAGCAATATCAAACTTTTCCCTTTATAAATTAACTTAATTTATCAAAGATCGCCAAAGAGCAATAAATAATATTTCATTCTTAATTACGTAAAATATTTTGAATGAAAGTTATACTAAATATGAAAATATCTTTGTTAAAACACTTACTTTATATTTTAATATAAATTTAAATTTAATCGAATTTTTAATATAAATATCACATATTTCAAAATGAAAGAAAAAGAATCTTCTTTTTATTTTCTTTACCAAACTAACTAGTCGACCCATTCCATCAAATTATTACTTCATTTTCACACGCAAACTTTTTCCTATTACGTGTCGATTAATTCATGGATTTTTTTTAATGCAAAATTATTATAAATTACAACAGTGATATGACTTCTCTTTTAAATTGCCACGTGTTTCATTTATTTATTTTTTTACATAAAAAAGACAAATATTAGTCTTTTCTGGAAAACTTCAGCACGTATATCATTGGTTATATAATTAAATAATGCTCTATATAGAGGGTTCATGAAATTAGAATATAAAAATATGATCCGCGCAATCCGCTCCTTTTGAAACCGACAGTTTTGTTAACGCAATCTATTTTGATTTGTCCGATCTATTCAATAATTATGTTAAAATATTTTGATGAAGTATATTTTATGCTTTGATATAGTATATAAATCATTTCCAATTTGTTTAGAAAAATATCTTTTTTTATCTAACATGTTTAAGATTATAAGAACAATTTTTTAGTACATTTACCTATTTTTAGTTTAAAATTACAAGATTCAAGTTCTTTGTTTTTTTTTTTTTTTTACACTCTGTATCTAATTAAAATTAGACAAATTATTTAAATTAAAATATAGAAATTAAATTTTATTAAAACGGGCTAGGTAGTGACTAGGACTGTTCAAAACCGAATCGAAACCGATATCCAAACCGAAAAAAATTATTGGTTCATCGGTAATGGGTTATTGGTTTAACGATTTTGATTTTTTTTGTTATCGGGTTATCGGTTCTTAACGATTTGAGATTTTTTCTTAACGGGCTAACCGATAACCCGATAGTAAATTAATAAATTATATTTATACCATTTTGATATATAAAATCCTTGACTTAGGATTTAGTTTCATATTTTTATTTCTGATAGTCTCAAACTTTCGGTTATTCTATAATGTGTTAGTGTTATATTTTAGCAAGATACAATTTATCAACTCATGTGCATGACTTTTTGGTTTGTCACCATGTTTCTAAGTGATATTCAGTTATTTATTTTTTTGTGTCAAATTTTAACGGTTAAATTGATAACGATCAATAACCAATAAATCAATAATCGATAAACCAATATCTTAATGGTTCTTAACGGTTTAGGATGTCTACAAATTAATAACTGATTGGTTGAACCGATAAACTTCAAAATCGAACCGAATCGACCAATACGTAGCTCTAGTATTTATTAGAATATTTCAACTCAACTCATATAAATTCAACTAACTTTAAATGTGTTAATAATTCATAGACTTATTTATTAATTTAATTTAATCTTTTAACTCGTTCATTTAAGCATGGGAAACATGAAATTATTTTTGGGGATTTTCAATTGTTTCCAACCACTAATTTCTTTTTGGCGTTCTTGGGAAATGACAAAAGTGGTCTTACTTGGTTTCGACACGTGGTCTAAATTCAGCCATATATTTAAGTGGCAAATTAAAGTGATTTAAGTTATATAGTACTATTTATTGTAGTAGTAAATTTATGTAGATCAATGTTTTTTATAATTTTTTTAAAACATAATTCAAGAATTAATATATTTATTTTTTTTCAATATAAAATTATCTTTATCAAGGATAATTTTATCACTAAACGATATAAACTTAAATTTAACCATCCAATATACTATACCAAATAACATGGACGAATCTTAACTGTTGGTTACAATTTAACAAATTCATCTGAATTCACAATTTTTAACATAAATAATATATATGAAGAAAATTATTAAAAAAATTATACTAAATATTTCATTATGAATTCAGTTATTATTAATATATTAACTTAAAATCGTTATAAAAAAAGAAAAAAACAACTATAACATATCTGATATAATTCTATAATTGGAATTTGAGAAGGGTATCGTTACACAATAACATAAATTTTAGTCCTTATGAGGGTTGAAAGATTGTTTTCGAGAGATCCTCGACTCAAAACGAGATTAAGAAGGAAAAAAAAAGAAAAAAAAAAGGGTACGTGTCGCATGAAACAGTTGTCTTATTCGAGAAGTCGCTTTTTTTGAACAGTACCCGAATTAACACATTATCTGACAACAAAAAAGCGGCTTTTTTTTTCACTTTATTTTATTTATTAATTATAATTAATTTAATTTATTACCTCAGAATTCAGCTCTTTCCATTTTTCATTCTCCTTTTTTCTCATCGGAAAAATATAGTATCTGCTTTCGGAGCTCCGGCGGTTTTGTTTTTTCCCGGCGGTCGTGATGTTGTCGCTGCAAACCGATCTCCGGCAGTACAATCAGCAGCAGCAGCTGTTGATATCTAGGGTTCCGCCGTATGATGGCGTTGCCGTCGGTGATCAGAGGATCGATTCTTCTTTTCCGTTCCAGTCTGAGTCTGCATTGTCTTCAGGGAATATCAAGTCTGAGTTGTCTCGTGAAGGTTAACTATTTTTTTTCCTTGTGCAATTTGTTTTGAAGAAATGAATTTGTCCATTATTTTTGCTCGTGTGTATAAAAAGATTGAATTTTTGTAATTTTTTTTATCTTAAAAACTTAAAATTTTTAAAGAAGAGAATTGATCTTAAATTGAGACAGATATAATCGATACATGTTCTATGTATATGTGGATTTGTAAAAGATTGTTTGTTTTTGCTTGGTTATAGGCTATGAATTTATCTGCAATTTGATGTTCTGTGTTTAAACTTACCAATTGGTTATTTTGGACTTAACTAGTCAAGTTGATTAGTTGAATGTAGTGATTTTTTTTCTCTTTTTAACTCATTTTGCTAAAGGAAGTAAGGAACATGTATGTGCTGTGGTGTTGCCAAATTGAAGTTGCTATGCTCTCATGGTGCGTATACATAGTTTATGTAGCTACAGCTTTCGTTCTTCCCAGGTGGTTGTTTTCAGTTAATTATTTGGAGGAACAAATGAGAAGAATGGATCAGTTTATTAAGCTGCTTTGTGCAGTCCAATGGGTGTGAAAGCATCAAAAGAGTTGGCAATCGGATCGGGAAAATGCATGAATTAAAACATTAAAATAAGTGAATACTTATAATATTTTTAAATGCATGAATTGAGTTGAGGGTCTATTGGAAACAACCTCTCTACCTCCAACATAGGTGGAAGGTCTACGTACACTCTACCTCCCTAGACCCCATTTTTGTGGATTACATGGGGGATGTTAAAAAAATGTATGAATTAGCCGGTCTGAAGCTTATTTTTCTTGGA